GTCGTCGTCAATTCTGGTTAAGTGGACATGCTGCAACCCTGAAATAAATAAGCTGTGAATCAGTACGCACGGAGGCGAGAGAAGGAGCCAAGACTATACATGCAATGTAATGGACATTCGCTAACATATATCTTATGCAACAAAAATCAGTGGCACGATAATTTTTGTTGCATATTGTTAATAATATGCAACACTTGTACGATAAAATAATTTGTGTTACATATTTTTGTATTTTAGGCAACACCTAATATAATTATGTTACATATTGTACCAATTAATGTTTATTAATTAAGTATATGAATTTCAAACTAACTGAAACTCTCACTACCATCACAACCGTTGATACAATTTCTTTTATTTTGAATCAAATGTAGCAGGTAGCATAAACACAAGAACACCTACTCATAAAATGCAGCTTAATGAACAATTAAGAGCTAAAAAATGATGAGTCCAAATGGGATCTATTCTTTGGAATTGGGTCAATCATACCAATTGTACTCTTAGCTCGTTTTTTTTTTTTTTTTTTTACTGAGTACTTTTAGCTGGTTGCTGTGATATTTGCTCAAATCACTGATTACCCATCCTCTGTCATCACCCACACATTCACGTATTATGCGTCACATGCAGATTCTTTCTACTTTCAATTAGTAAACAGAATTAATTAATCACTATCACTTTGGGTTTAACGTTGAGGGGATGCATATGATATTTTATCTTCTTGCTAATACTCTCTATTAATGAAGTTGATACGAGTTGAAATCGTATGAGTGAATGAATCCCTTTTCTTGGCGGGATTGAGCCAGTTCTCTCTTTTCTTGGCGAGAAATGACCAGGGGGTTTCCTTACTAAAATTCTGCTTGCCTCTTATTTCATTTAATCACCCCTTAAATACATCACGTTGGAACAAATAAATCCTATCTATATGGGACTACTCCCACGTCCAGCTAACCACTTGCCACTTCTCCTATAACTGCTCCTACTGACTCTAACAAACATAGAACTCTAACAACCTTGTTGACCCACTAACACTCCTAACTAGAATAGTCAATTACGTTCCTATTTTACAATGGCAAGCTTGCTGTCGGGTTTAAGGCCTCGTGTCTTTATGGGCTGGGCTACGTCTCGTCATCACGATAGCGGTGTTGGGCTACGGAACTCGAGCTGAACGATATATGGTTGCATCATTACCACCCCCTGAAAAACGGCCTTGTCCTCAAGGTCGAGCTGAACGAAGCGATGAGAGAACAACCATTGAATGTTCCCGGTAGCATCATCGATGGGAAGCGGCCTCCCTTGGCTCAATTCCGTCGTCGAATCCAACCCTTCAATTAATGGTCCATTAGTCACCCCAGATGATTGACTAGAGTTGCATATCACCTCAGTTAGCTCCTCCACCCTTGCAATACTCTTCTCGTAATTTATGGGGTTCCAAAATGTCAAGACTTTTCTTGGGGCTGGTTTTAATCCTTCCAATTTTCCCATACGTGCGTAATTCCTTGAAGGATGGGACCCAATAAAGGAATACCACCCATGTACGCATGCCATCAATAAAGGAGACTCCAAATTAGTGTTCTTACGAGGGTAATTGTGTTTTCTCCAACGCGGGTTGGATGCATATTTACTGAGAATGGAGCTCCGATAGCAATCCTCCTGCCTGAAATCGAATCTGCGATGTGACGTGGTAGTAACTTCGGTAACTTGAATTTTCTTCCTTGTCTTCCTCCAATAAATAAGTCTTCCCTTATGACCCTTTTCCGTAATCATGGGAATGACTGCTACTCTTCGAACTTGTTGCGATCGTAGCGAGCATCTTAACCATGGATCCCAAGTAGCAACGTCGTTGACGAGGGCGGTTGTCGGTGATGTAAGAGTCCTGTAATCTGATGAGGCCACAACTGATGGCGGTGGTGCGATCAGATCCAGGAGATTTGGTAAGTCTTCCTTAGTTGCAGTTGTCCAATCCACAAACACGGTGAACTCTGCTGCGGCTTCTTCCTCGTCGATCATGAGTAGGTTGGTGGTGATGGCTGAGGGCGCGACGATAGGTACGAAGAACATGGACGGTGGAGGTGGTGCGATATGGATGACATCAGCAGAGTCTTCTTCCTTGGAATTCTTCTTCCTTTTCTTCCACCAATAGAGAAAATCGGCATCAATACCACATAGTCCTACTGTCCTGGGGAGTTTCTTTCTAAACCGCCAAGGGTTTATATTTCCTAAGATGACTATGCATCGAATAGGAATCACACAATTGGGGATTAAGTCGATTCCCATTGATAGGACATACCCATGTAGTTGATGCGGGCGGTTGCTAACCAATAGGGACTGCGGCTCACTCTCCTGGTGCTTCTTTTTGGCAAGGCATGTTGAAACATGAACGACCTTGACTGATAATTCAAGGTGTGACTCCAGCTCAAGGGCGATAGATCGCGGTTCAGGTGCGCCTACAGGTGGAGCGATCGTAGAACTCGAAACGCTCTTAATCTTCGGCGGCGATGGACCAATGACGACGGCAAGAGCGGTAGGTATCGACATCTTTGTCGTGACGGCTAGGGATGCAACGAGACTTGGTTGTGGAGCGATCTTGTTGTCTTCCAAGGCGGGGAGGGTATCGAGCGGCGGTGGCGGTGCAACGGCATTCGAAGGGAATGCTGCTGTGGGAGACACGAACGACTTCAAAGGCGCAGGTGGTGCAACGTTGACAAAATCGATATCTTCTTCCTCGACCTCTACCCAATCGGCAGCTTCAACTCGCGGCAGTGGTGCGGTGACTCTATCGTAAGCTTTGATGGCTCTACGGCAAGCTGCCATCGCAATATCCAAGGATGTCATCATCCGATTGATGAGTTCGTCTCGTGATGGTTTCTCTGAGTGCATCGTGATCGAAACCCGGATCAACGGCTCTGATACCAAATGATACGAGTTGAAATCGTATGAGTGAATGAATCCCTTTTCTTGGCGGGATTGAGCCAGTTCTCTCTTTTCTTGGCGAGAAATGACCAGGGGGTTTCCTTACTAAAATTCTGCTTGCCTCTTATTTCATTTAATCACCCCTTAAATACATCACGTTGGAACAAATAAATCCTATCTATATGGGACTACTCCCACGTCCAGCTAACCACTTGCCACTTCTCCTATAACTGCTCCTACTGACTCTAACAAACATAGAACTCTAACAACCTTGTTGACCCACTAACACTCCTAACTAGAATAGTCAATTACGTTCCTATTTTACAATGGCAAGCTTGCTGTCGGGTTTAAGGCCTCGTGTCTTTATGGGCTGGGCTACGTCTCGTCATCACGATAGCGGTGTTGGGCTACGGAACTCGAGCTGAACGATATATGGTTGCATCAGAAGTTGATGTATAATATAGTTAGATGGGATATTAATGATTCGTATTCTTGATTATTCCCTAGTTGATTCTATCAGTTTATGTTTGAGACACCATAAGGATTCGAAACTATTACCTTTCGATCAAAATCTCTAATATCATATTAACGGAAAAATCACTTAATTCTTTCAATATAAATGGTATGCTCATTTTGTTTTTATCATTTCACGATATATTATCATCCTGAGTGATGATACAATTAATATGATACGTTCAGAGACACGTAGACAAGAAAAAAAGAAAATAGGAGATATAAACTCGATCGAGCAGATGCCCAGTACTTCACGAGCGAGCTAGAAGAAGAAGAAACTAAATTATACACACTAATCCAGTATAATTAAAATCAAGGTGTCACATCAAGATAATTGAGGAGGCAGTCGCCACCGAACGCCCGCCTGCCCATATCCAAGAAAGAAGGGGAATAGTCCTTCAAAACGATTCTTCAGTTTATAGATAACCTAACTTAATTCCACCCTTATGAATTACGAAATGCACTAACCTAACAATCATTAACACTGTTCGCACGGCAAACCACAATAGCAAATTTGGAGTAATGTATTAAAAGATGCTGTCTTATATATGTGTACGTTTTTATGTCTAGCTAGTAGAATGAGCAACTTTTAATTCACACTGGGGATTAGGGAAATTAATGGGTTCTCAATATATTCAATATGATAAGATTTTTTTAGTTTCTTATCTTGTGTAATAATTGATCAGCTAAATTATATGGGTTTCGTAATTTCTATAAGATATTCAATTCAAATTTTATTCACGTATTAGGCTTGAATTTGTACATACGTACACACTGTTTTCACACTTAACGGCCCGCGGTAAATCGTTGGAAAATGAGGGCAACTCTACGTACACACAACTGGCAGGCCAGCAGTCCATATCCTTCAAAATGGGAAGCGAGAGAAATTTAATTAATTGAATTAAGGTGCATTATTCTTGCTCCTGCAGAAGGCAAAACGATGGTGACATGCAACTAATTACCAATTCGGCAATTATACTTAATTAACGAAGAACCCTAAGGAAATAATTGCTTAAATAACTAATTACCATTTACCAATCCTCTGCCAGCCGCACGACCCACACATTTATGTGTATCAGTATATGTGTCACATGCAGACTCTTTCTACTTTCCATGACTAGTTAGAATTAATCACCATCCTTTGGGTTTATTGCTATCTTCTTACCAATACTGTATGAGATATAATATATTTTGATCAGATATTTTATTTGGAAGAGTGCGAAGAGTGCAATTGCAACCAAAGTTAGAATTGAATTATAATTGTAAAAGTGACCTATAAAAAATTCAATACGGCTCAAAATAAAATATTAAATGACTTACTATCAATAAAAAATGTAGCTGACTATATAGTATATACATCCTTTCGAAGCTCCACCTCCAAACATACTCAATAAATTAAAAGAAAATAATAAATTGTAAACCATACGATTATTAGCTATTTCAATTTTCATATGTTATGGACCTATTGGCCTATGGGTATGGGCTTAGGCCCAAAATGGCTTCTCTTCTTGCGTACTTCATATGCTGCATTCGAGCTTTGAAGTAGCTAATCTGCTTCAACAGAATTGACGCTTCGTATTTCTCAACCAAAAAAAAAAAAAATTTGACGCTTCGTCATACCGGCCGGCGGCCACCACCGCCTCACTTCTACCGAACTATAGGAGCGCTCCACGTTGCATGGAGGCGGCCGTGGCACCGCCGCTGAGCGGGACCCACCCGCCGCCACGTGGGGCATTCGGTCCCGAATTCCCCGTTCCCCCGAAATCTAATGTCTCCCCTACCTTTTCCTTCTCCCGCCTTTATCTCAACCATTTCCCCCTCATTTCTTTTCCGGCACCCTTCTTCCCCCTTCCGTTTTCTCCATCATCTGAAAATTTTGGGGAAAAATCGCAAGAAGAGAGGAATCATGGACGCCAATTTCGTGCTGGTCAGGCAAATTCCGCCGGGGATTCGGCTTCTCCGAGCAGCCAGAGGCCGGGATTGGACCCTGAAAACCTACCGGTACGTGATCCTGCTGGTTACCTTCATCGCATACGCCTGCTACCACGCTTCCCGAAAACCTAGCAGCATCGTCAAGAGCGTCCTCGACCCCGACCCTCTGAACCAACCGCTCTCAGGTAACGACCCTTACCCTTGGCCGATTGGGAATGTGTTCATCAAGGAGGAGGAAGGGCAAAATTCGTCAATTGAAGGTAGCAGTAGAGGTTGGGCGCCGTTCAACGGCAAGGACGGGACGTCGAAATTGGGGGAAATCGACGTAGCATTCCTGTCCTGCTACTCGCTAGGGATGTATGTGGCGGGGCATTTGGGGGATAAATTGGATTTGAGGCTGTTCTTGACCTCTGGCATGGTGGGCAGCGGGATATTCGTCGCGCTGTTTGGGATGGGTTACATTTGGAATGTTCATGTGTTCTGGTTCTACCTGGCGATGCAAATGGTCGCCGGGCTGTTCCAGGCCACGGGCTGGCCGTCTGTTGTGGCGGTGATAGGGAACTGGTTTGGGAAGAGGAAGAGAGGGTTGATAATGGGGATCTGGAACGCGCACACCTCCGTTGGGAACATCAGCGGCTCGCTTCTTGCGGCTGCGGTGTTGAGCTGTGGATGGGGGTGGTCGTTCATTGTCCCGGGAGCGTTTATTGTGCTTGGAGGGGTGCTGGTTTTCCTGTTCTTGGCTCCGTATCCGGAGGATATAGGGTTTACTACTGCACAGTTGATGGCTACGGATGATAATGGTCAGGATGTGGAGGGTCAGAATCGCGGTGAGGCTGCTGGGAATGATGGAGGTGGCCCTGTTCCTGGACCGTGTGGATCGGGGCTTAGGACGAGCGTTGGCCTCGTAGAAGCTTGTTTGATTCCCGGAGTTATACCGTTTGCATTGTGCTTGTTCTTCTCGAAGCTCGTGGCCTACACGTTCTTGTATTGGTTGCCTTTCTACTTGAGCCAGACAGGTTTGGGTCCTTTACCTTTGGTGGCAGTTTTTGTCATCTTGATTTGGTTGATTTTTTTGTCAATGCTAGCTGTGATTCAAACTCTCATATGGGAAACATGGTTAGATGCCTATGCGAACATTTGTAGAATGTAGCAATAGATTGGTTGAGATTCATAGTCTGAGATGGGGGAGATGGCTATATGAATATTTAGAGATTGTAGCAATGGATATTTCAATTTTATTCTCTAGTCATTCAATATGTACAAGTCTATTCACTCATTGACCTTGTGTATGCCAGCAATATTTTTTTTTGCTTGAATTGGTTTAGATTTAGAATATGGTATCTCTACATGTGCTACAATTTAATGATCGAAGTTCGTAATTGCAGCAATTGGTGGCCACTTCATGTCCGTGAAGTCTGCTGGCAACCTCTCTACCCTGTTCGACGTAGGAGGCATCGTGGGCGGTATTCTTGCCGGTTACATATCAGACAGACTCAAAGCTCGAGCCATCACAGCAGCCAGTTTCATGTACGTGGCGATCCCAGCCATGCTCTTATACCGCTGGTACGGGAGTGTCTCCCAGTCCCTGAACATCATACTGATGATGATTGCTGGCTTGTTCGTGAATGGACCCTACGCACTGATCACAACAGCAGTGTCTGCGGACCTTGGCACCCACAGCTCTCTCAGAGGTGATTCTCGGGCACTTGCGACTGTCACTGCAATAATTGATGGCACTGGATCGATCGGTGCAGCCCTTGGTCCCCTTCTCACCGGGTTTCTATCGACGAGAGGATGGAACTTGGTGTTTGTGATGCTGATGCTCTGTGCCCTTGTCGCTGGCCTTCTTTTGACGCGTCTAGTAATTGCCGAGATTGCTGAAAAGGCTGATCGGCCAATACCTGGTGGTAAGCAGGGACATGAAGGTAAGGATTTGAATGACATTGCTTGGTATTGTTGCTGCTATCTTACAAATTTCTCTCCTCTGAACCCGTTTTCTCAATCTGTGATTGACAGCTCCAGCATCAGAGCCACTTCTAGGCAATCTAAAGTGAAAATTTTCCGGTATATAAGTTCGCAATATCTTCTCTACAAGAACAAAGAACAGACGTTAGACTCTCAATTTTTTGGATAGCTGAAACATTGCAGCCTGTAAGAAGGATTCAGAGGAGACATGCAAATGCAACAGCCATATAGTTTTGTATAGTCTCATTGCAATATATTATTTTTGTTTCCTGTGTGAAATGTAGTGTACAAATTGGACAATACAGAGTTAGTAGTATGTATATAGGAATCATCATGAGTGTTTTACTACGAGATGACAATTTTGATCTGATCTGACCCGAGGCACTGGAAGGAACGGGGTGTATTGCCAACTCCGAGAGTAAGACTTCTGAGTTCTGACAGAGATCAATGTTCAATACAAATCAAAGTCATAAATTTTGTTGTTTTCTTTTTCGGAGTGATGTGTAATGCAATTATCTTGGATGTACTTTTTTTTTAGTATTTTTACTTTCCCTTGAGAATGGTTCACTATTTGCAGGACAGTGAACCAGTCATTAAACCAGTAATATGCTTCTACTTTTGAATATCAGAACAAAGCAAATATGTTCTTCATGGTGCATTATTTGCTCTTTTGTGGGTTTTTTTTTTATACAAAAATTGAATATTGATCGAGTTCAGTTGGGATCCAAAAACACACCCAAAAAGGCAGCAACTTAGCTCGCAAGTTAGTCTCCCAATACCACTTCAAACAAAATAGTACTCTGTTCAAAAAAAAAAAAAAAAATAGTACTCTGTTTTGTAAGCTTATGAAAAGAAAACAGGTTCGGATGTTTAAAACCAGATGTTTAAATCAACCATAGTTTTAGGATTAATCTGGCGCTGTTAAAGGGGAGATGAGAGATTAGTTTAAATAGGGATATTGGAATTTGGGAATTGTTAGATGTGATTGGATATTGGTTTTCTTTTGAAACATGAAACTTGTTTTGGGATATACTTTGGAATTGGTTTGGTGTAGTGGGGATGTTTTTATATATATTATAATTAGGTGTTCATCTGCTTGAGCCCTTTGGGCTCTCCACTAAGATCCTCGTTAGCATCGTTGGGAACACAACGAAAGGGCATCGAGGGGGTCGAACTCAGGACCTCACACGTCCAGAACGAGCGCCTAATGAGGATTCACCAATCGGGTTATGTGACCTTTGGCGTAGTGGGAAGAGTTAGTCAATAGAGTGAAAATATCATATTGACAAGAAAGGTAAAGTGCAAATGGTTTACAAAGTCTTTTTTTAACTTTATTTTATTGATTAAAGTTATTAGTGGTTTCTTTTAGAAAAGTGTGTGCAATTTAATTTGACATATTAAATCACACTACACATTTAACATGTTTTTTTTTTTGGTCGACACATTTAACATGTTAGCGCCGTGCATTTTGGAATTGATTTTTTTTCTACTAAATAATTAATTGTTTATTCTGAATTATTTTGTGATTAATTAATTTTGGATAATTAATTAATTGATTATCTTTTGTGAAACACATAAGGAAACTATCATTTTTTCACAATTTAAGTACCGCCTAATTTCTTCCTAACGTTAATATTTTTCTTCCAAGTTTTCTTATCAAATTCACAAATACAGAAATATGCAAGATTTTCATTTCCATACTTAAATTGAAGGGACTCCTAGGGTAATTTAATCGATTCCTACCAAAAATTTAGAGTCGACACAAATTACATATTAAAAAGAGTGATTAATTCACGCTTTAAGTCTGTTTCTTTTCATCCAAGTTACTAACAGGAAAGCAGGCGACAGTGAGCAAAAAATTAGACAAGAGAACCTGTATTTGTGTGTTGTGGGTTAGTTTGGTTTGCAGCATGCTCATCATGGGTTGTACATATAAATATAATCATAATAATTGTTTTTGTAATAATTATAGTCGATGTTTCTACAGCTGCAGGACTACAATTCGAACACAATCTTAATTATTGTTATTGTAACACTTTAGACAAATCCCACATCGACAAAGCACGGGAGAGATCTATGGTTCATAAGTAAGAAACCGATCTTAACTGACAAGACGCGTTTTGGGGTGAAATGGAGGAGTTCTTGTGAGAACTCCGAAGTTAAATGTGCTCAGTGTGGAGTACAACAAGGATGGGTAACCTTATGAGAAATCACCTTAAATTACACCACAAGTCGAAAACCGTGAGGATTGAGGCCCAAAACGGACAATATCTTCGTCGAGAACTGCAAAATCTATAAAACTTCTCTTACATAGATTCTACACTATATTATTATATTGAACAAATATAATTATCAATTAAAAATTCAAACTTAATAGTTAATAGTTAAGTTATAACTTTCGACCATCATATACGTCCAAAATAAAGAGTATTTTATAATAACACACCTTTTTTCAGGTTGTGCTAACATTAGAGGACACTTTCTCTCTCATTTCTCTCTTTGCTCTATCTTCTCTTTTGTTTGATTTAGTCCCCTTATAGCCGTTGTGCTTTCCTAGACTTGTTCTGGATGTTGAACCCTCTCCATTTGTGAGATGATTTGATCTTCCTTCTCGGTTTCTGAAGTGACGATGAAGATGGCTGATCCTGCTTCCTTTCAGAGAAGGTCTTGTTATCTTATTAAATGCAAGAAGGAGGTGTGTTGTTCACTCCATGCCAGTTGTGTGTGCCCCGAATTGATTCAACAACTGCAACAAAGGGATTTAAGGCTTCTCAATTACTCTGCCTTTCTGGTGGATGGAAGTTATTGTCCCTCTGTTACTGAAGGTATAAATATACCAAATGCAGATACCAGTCGTTTCAAGCCACCATTAATGAAGGAAGAAAGGTGTTTCGAGCCACTAAAAGCAGCAGGGGAAGCCAAAAGTTCTAAGGGAAGGAGAACAGCAATAAAACCTGGTCCAATCAAATCAACAACCCTATTAAATGAAGCTGTTGGAGAGTGTAGAAATGCTAGAGGAGTTATAAGAAGGGGAATACTGCCATCAAACATTAACATCCATACTCAAAACCTACCTTTCTGTCGTGAGCGTACTGATACCCCCTTTTGTCTTGAGCAAACATAGCCTGGGAAAAATATCACAAAAATGAGTGTTAACGATCTGGTCAATCAAGCTGGGGAATGAGATCTGGAAATGGTTCTTGATGAAGAAATACTTACCAATCGATTCTCCCTGGTTGTCAAAGTTTTCTCTGAGCGCAGTATCAGCCTAAGGGCTTTGAGAGGTATGATCAGAACTGCCTGGGTGGATAATCCGAAGCCAAAGATTCGGGAGATGCCCAATGTTCAACCAGTCTATGAGAATGTTTTCACTCTTGATTTTGAGAAGATGGAAGAAATGGAGGCGATTTGGCTGGAGCAACCCTGTCCCATATCTGGTACTTTGATGCAAGTGAGGAAGCTATTGGGGCTAGAGAATGCAAGAGAAGTCAGCTTCAGGATGGTGGACTTCTGGATCCAAATCCATAATCTCCCAGAAGCATACAGATCTAAGAGCAACATTGCCATGGTTAGCAGAATGTTTCACAAAATCATCGACATTGACCGGGCTGCACTTCAAGCTCAAATATACAGGAAGTTTGTGAGGGTGTTCGTTCAGGTGGACACCTCAAAACCGATTCCAGATGGGTTTTACATCTGCCATCAACAAAAGAGAACTTGGATTGAATTCAAGTATGAGAAACTCTTCTCACTTTGCTACCACTGTGGAGGAATCGAGCATACCAGATTGGAGTGCGATCTGAGAAGAATCGGCGAAGAATATGGAGCTCAGCCGCCAACGATTCAGAGATGGGGACCGTGGTCGAGGGCCAGCTCACCTCTCTTATCACCTAGGACGATCCAGCAGCAGGAGGTTGAGGCCGTGGTGGTCAGAGACACGCCATCGACATCTGAATCTCCTGGAGGATCCCGGGTCCAGTCGCCGGCGAACACCATGAGCGGAGCTATCTTCGCTCAATCTCAGATGGTCCCACAATCCTTGGTAATGACGCCTGTCATCCATCAATCTCCTCACTCAAGTTTCGCTCAGAACTTCCCTCTTTCTCCATCTGTTAACCCTTTCCAAAATCCCTACTTTTCATCTCCATCTCCACAAAGCTATCCCATTTTTACCCAGAACCGAGAGCAGCTCGCTTCCCCGCACCAAGGAGATAGCTTTGCTACAAACCTTTTTGGTTTTCCCAAACCTCCACCAATCCCATTCTCCTGTATCCAGATCCCCGATTTTCAAAACCCTCCACCAGGCTTTTGGTTGTCTAACCTAAGCCCATTACCTATCCAGGCCCAGACCCATTTTACCTTCAACCACAATTACTTTCCTAGCCCAATTGCAACCCAATCTCCTGCTGGATTTCAACCGCGTGGCCATGGATCGATGTTTCGCAATGGCAGCCCAAGGATCCAAAAAAAGAAAAGAAAGACATCTGGCTGTATTTTAAAAGAACAAGGGGCAGAGCAGTCTGATGCCATACAAGGTGGAGCCGAAGAAAAGGTTGACAATGAAGATGCAGTGTTCCCGCCTGGGTTTGAACTCAATCTTGCTGTGGTTATGGTGGCCGATTCCAAGCCACCAGGGGTCCCATGAATGCTATTGTGTGGAACTGTCGGGGATTCGGGCAGACCCCCACAGTTCTTCATCTCAGGAAGTTGGTTAAGAAACACCAACCATCTTTAATTTTTCTGTCCGAGACAATGAAGGAAGAATCCTATATGAAGTCCAAGAGAAGGAGTATGAGATTTGCTGATGAGTTCCATGTCAATCCGGTCCAAAGGGTAGGGGGTTTAGCTCTTTGGTGGGTGGCGGGGTTACCTATCACAATTCTGGATTGTAGCTGCTTTTTTATTGATGCTTTTGTTGATGTTAATGGGGGCTTTTTTATCACCTTTGTTCATGCCCCGTCTGATCCTGCTCGGCGTAGGGATTTGTGGGATCAGATTAGTAGTCTTAGGACTAGTGTAGATGAAAAATGGGTGGTTATTGGGGATATGAATGCTATGCTTTTCCCAGAGGAAAAGAAGGGGGGAATGTGCCTAGGAACGTATCTACTGTACCCTTTAAAGCTTTTGTTGATGGGAATGGTTTAATGGATATGGGTTTTAAGGGCTACCCGTTCACTTGGAAGAATAATCAGGAAGGGACGAGACGTATTGAGGAGAGACTTGATCGTGGGTTGTGCTCTACCTCGTGGTTCACAATGTACAGTAATGCCCTGATTATTCATGAGTTGCCTATTGAATCTGATCATAGTCCTCTGCGATTGGAGTTTGAAGGGATGCGTTTTAAATCAAGGACTCCCTTCCGTTTTGACACTAGATGATTTCAAAATGATGAGTGCTTTGAGATTGTGAATCGGAATTGGGATGGTGGAGGCCTTTGCCATGAAAGACTGCATAATTGTGAAAATGAATTGACCAATTGGGCTAAACAAATGTACAAAGATCAAAATAGGAGGGCTGAGGATATCCAGAAGAGATTGGTTGACATCCTACATCTTGACCGATCAGTGGAGGTTGTTGAAGAGGAAAAAAACATTATGAATGAGCTTTCTGCCATTTGGAAGGATGATGAATTATTTTGGAGCCAACGGTCACGTGTGGATTGGCTTAGTGTCGGTGAC